CGATTTCTCAGTGTGTCAATTTTTTATTTTTTTGATTTTTCGATGTTTTGATTTTTCAACATTTCAATTTTGGGAATTTTCTTCCATTTCTAGATTTTGTAATTTTTAGAATTTTCGGATTTCGATTTTTCAATGTGTCAGTTTTGGGATTTTTCAGTTTTTCCTTTTTTCAATTTTTCAATTTTTTAAATTTTACATTTCTCAATTTTTCATTTAATAAATTTTTCGATTTTGAGTTTTCTATTTTTCGATTTCTCGTTTTATCGAGATTTCGATGTTTCGATTTCTCTTTTTTTATTCTCAGTTTTTTGATTTTTCAATTTTTCTGTTTTTTAAGTTTTACAACCTTCAATTTTTCTGTTTTAAAATTATTTAAAAGATTTCAATGTTTCGATTTTTCGATTATTTAGTTTCCCTATTTTATTTTTGGGATTTATCAATTTTTCACTTTCTCTATTGTTCAAATTTTTGATATTTTAATTTTTCGATTTTTTGAATTTTAGATTTTTCGAATTCTCGAAGTTATTTTTTTTATTTTTCAATTTTTAATTTTTCCATTTGTCGATCTTTTAATGTTTCAATTTTTCGATGTTTCGATTCTTCTAGTTTTCGATTTCTCAATTTTTTTCAACATTTCATTTTTGCGAATTTTTCCGCTCCTAGATTCCCCAATTTTTAGATTTTTAATTTTAGATTTTTTTTGTTTTCAATTGCTCCACCTTTCGATTTTTCCACTCTTCAGATTTCGACGATTCGGTTTTTCAACTTTTTTGTTTAAAAAGATGTTTGATTTTTGGATTATTAAAATTTCTTGACTTCTCGATTTTTCAGTTTTTAACATTTTCGTATTCTCAGCTTGTCTGTTTTTCGATTATCTCGATTTTTCGATTTCTCGGAGTTTCAAATTTTCGATTTCTCAGTTTTTCTATACTTCATTTTTGGAATTTTTCATTTTCATTCTTCAATTTTTTGGTTTATCAATTTTTCAATAGTTGAGTTGGCGAGGTTTTAATTTTTCTTTTGTTCAAATTTTTGATATTTCAATTTTTCAAATTTTTAAATTATAGATTCTTCGATTTCTCGTTTTTTTGGTTTTTCGGTTTTTAGATTTTTCAGTTTTTCGGTTTACAGATTTTTTTGTTTAACTTTTTCATTTTTAATTTTTCGATGCTTCGATTTTTCAAGTTGTTGGGTTCCCATTTTTTCAACATTTCAATTTTGGGAATTTTTCCATTTCTGGATTTTTTAAGTTTCCGATATTTTAATTTTCTGGTGTTTTACTTTTGGAATTTTTCAGTTTTCCGATTTTTCAATTTTTTCGTTTTAAATTTTTTATTTTTCTATTTTTCAGTTTAAAAAATTTTTGTATTCTCAGTTCCATTTTTTGATTTCTCGACATATCAAGATTTCCCTGTTTCGATTTTTCGATTTCTCGGAGTTTCAATTTTTCGATTTCTGGGAGTTTAAATTGTTCGATTTCTCAGTTTTTCTATATTTCGTTTTTGGGATTTTTCAGTTTTTCGAATCTTGAATTTTTCTTCGATTTTTCGATTATTTTTCGATAGTAGTGTTTTGGCATGTTTCAATTTTTCGATTTTTTGTTTTTCTATATTTCATTTTTGGAATTTTTCAGTTTTTCGATTCTTTAATTTTTTCAATAGTTAAATTTTGGAATGTTTCAATTTTTTTATTCTTCAAATTCTTGATCTTTTAATTTTTCGATTTTTTAAATTATAGATTTCTCGAATTCTCGTTTTTTTTATGGATCAGTTTTTAGATTTTTCAATTTTTCGGTTTACAGATTTTTTTATTTAAATTTTTCCATCTTTAATTTTTCAATTTCTCCATGGTTCTTTTTTCTAATTTTTCGATATTTTGATTTTTCAAGTTGTCGGGTTCCCAATTTTTCAACATTTCAATTTTGGAAATTTTCCCATTTCTGGATTACTTTTTTTTCGATGCTTTAATTTTGGGTGTATCAGTTTTAGGATTTTTCAGCTTTGCGACTCTTCAATTTTTTTGTTTCAAATTTTGTATTTTTCGTTTTTTCAGCTTCAGAAATTTTTGTATTCTTAGTTCCATGTTTCGATTTTCCGATTTTCTTGGTTTTTTTGGATTTTTGAATATTGTATTTCTTCAATTTCTTTAGTTTTTTGGATTTTTTGGACTTTTGGGACTTTTTCGATTTTCCGGTTATTCAGTTTCCAGATTTTTCGATTTTTCAATTTTTGAATTTTTCGATTTTTTTAAACGAAAATTTTCAATTTTTATTTTTTGATGTTTCGATTTCTCTATTTTTTGCTCTTTTGATGCTTCCATTTCTCATGGTGTCAATTTTTCAAGTTGTCGGGTTCCCAATTTTTCTATTCTTCAAATTTTGTATTTTTCGAATTTTCAGTTTTTCCATCTGCCGATTTCTGGATTTATCGAGATTTCGATCGTTCAGTTTCCCGGTTTTTCGATTTTGGGCTGTTTCCCAAAGATTTTTCAGTTTTTCAGCTTTAGAAATGCTTGTTTTCTCATTTTTTAATTCCTCGATTTATCGAAATTTCCATGTTTCGAGTTTTCGATTGTTAAGTTTCCCGATTTTTGGATATTTGAATTTTTCTTCGATTTTTCGATTTAGCGATTTATCAGTTTTTCGATTCTTCAATTTTTCAATTTATCGATTTATCAATTTTTCAGTACTTGAGTTTTGGCATGTTTCAATTTTTCAATATTTCTATTCTTCAAATTTTTGATATTTTAATTTTTCGATTTACAGATTTTTTTTAACTTAAATTTTTTAATTTTTTTATTTTTCGATTTCTCGATTGTTTTTCCAATTTTTCGATATTTTTTATGTTTTGAATTTTCCAATTTTTTCAACACAATTTTGGGAATCTTTTCATTTTCGGATTTTAAAATTTTTCGATGTTTTAATTTTTCTCGATGTCGGGGATTTTTCAGGTTGTCAGGGTTCACAATTTTTCAACATTTCAATTTTTCCATTCCTGGATTTTTTAATTTTCTGATATTTCAATTTTCTGATATTTCAATTTTTTGATTTTTCAGATTTTCAAATTTTCGTATTCTCAGTGTTTCTATTCTTCGATTTCTTGATTTATCGAGATTTCGATGTTTCGACTCTTCAGTTGTCCGATTTTTCGATTTTTTAAATTATAGATTCTTCGATTTCTCGTTTTCATTTTGATTTTTCAGTTTTTAGATTTTTCAATTTTTTGGGTTTACAGATTTTTTTAATTAAATTTTTCAATTTTTAATTTTTCGATTTCTCGATTTTTCTTTTTTCTAATTTTTCGATTTGTTGATTTTTCTGCACAATCTTTCATTGGTTTGCACATGCTCCAGATTCATTTATTTCTTCGGATTTAAACAGCGAATTAACCATAAAAAAATTAATGTATTGATAAGCCACTGTAGACCTACAGCATTTTATCTTTTGATTTTTTTGGTTTTTTGGACTTTTTTAACTTTTAATTTTTTGGAATTCGGGTTTTTTTTATATTTCTGCATCTTGTATTTCTTAAGTTTATTCGGTTTTAGGATTTTTTGGACTTTTTGAACTTTTTGGATTTTCTGGACTTCTTGGAATTAGCATTGTCACCGTTTCTATAGAACCAGAAGAAAGTAGAGGGCGGGTGGGCGGGGCTAGTACTTGCTAAGTTAAAAGTGTATATTTTCTTGGAGGGTAATTCATTTGCCAAAAGCAGTCTTATGTTAGCCAGTCCTAGCCCCGCCCACCCACCTTTTATTTTCTTAGAGGGATTTAATTAGCCAAAATCTGTCTTATCTTAGCAAATACTAGCCCCGCCCACCCGCTCTCTATTTTCTTAGAGGGTATTTTCAGTACTTGCTAAGATAACACTGATTTTAGCAAATGATATACCCTTCAAGAAAATAGAGGGAGGGTGGGCGGGGTTAGTACTTGCTAAGATAAGACTCATTTTGGAAAATGAAAATCCCCTCTAAGAAAATAGAGGGCGGGTGGGCGGGTTTAGTATTTGCTAGGATAAGAGTGGTTGGCGAATGACATATCCTCTAAGAAAATAAAGGGTGGGCGGGCGGGGCTAGTGTTTGCTAAGGTAAGACTGATTTTGGCCAATGAAATACCCTCTAAAAAAATATACTTTTTTTAAATTTCAGGAACAGCTGTTGTCTCAGATAGGTGATAATAATTTTCCGGCGAATTCGGAATTCGATAGAACTTATTCGTTGTTGAGGCAGTGGAAAAATTCCAGAATGGCGCGAAAGATATTTTTTTATTGCAATAAATATAATTGTTATAATTTTTATTTTTCAAGAGATTACAATGAAGGCCCAGTCTGCAAAAGAAAAGTAGAAAAGAAGAAAGAAAAAATAAGGGGTAATTTATATTTTTTCTAACTTTGAATAAAATTATAATTTATTTGAATTAAGTTTTGTTAGCTCTAAATTCATATCGATATCCATTTAATTCCCATTCACAACGCATGTGTCATGTTAATACAAAATACTGACAGTTACAGTTTATATATACGTAACGTGTAAGTCAATGTAACACGTTGTATTGGCGTTTCAAATAAAACGTAACTGATACATCAAGATGTAGACAATCTAGCGATTTACTAATGCAACGTATATAGTCAGCATAACCACAACTCATACCATGTTGATTACATTACACGGTAAAGGGAACGCAGATGAGCGCAATATGTGAAACAAGTTCGTAGACACACTTCAGTTGTTTACTGGGTACTTCAAACCAAAGCATTGCGGAATTGGCATATTACACAATGAGTGTGAAAAGTGTCCTATTTCGCACATTTACAAGTTTTTTCGAGCCGTCGCCGGCACATCCGCCACTATCGAATACAACAGCCCAGTTCCAGATCCGGCTCTCGCACGAAGACAGCGAGAATCGATATCCCGGCACTCGAGATCGGAAGCGGCGTATTGTTTCTGATTGAAGTTAATGGGATATAATGATGTCTATGGTTGGATGTGGCGCAAGCTCTTACCTGAGTGATACCGGCTTTCGTTTCGTGTAAGCCGTCGGTTACCCCTTCGCATAGCCCTCGTGGCGGGACTGACGCCCCTCGCATCCTTGGATTGCCCATCACCCACATCTACATGCAAAACAACACTCAGCCATGCGGAACGAAACGGAAAAAAATATATCCAACTTAAAAACTAAACGAAACCAACGGAATGTACAAAAAAGTACGGCTCTCTTGTGCGGCACAGCGAACAGGACGGACCCGGTTCGTTTAAAAATCATGCTGGATACGGACGTGAGGGGATTGCTCATGTGATATACTTGCATAATTTATCATTTTTGGGTTTAATAAATACGCCGGCTGTCGCAACAATGCAAGGAGGCCTGGACGGCTAATTCGGCGAAATTTGATGCTAGTGAAGCAAAAAGTCGAGATGATTACAGGATTTTTAATGGCAAAGGTGTCACAAATGGCGCACTTTGCATAAATGATTATTGTAAACCGAGTTATTTTTTGTTATTAACAAAACTAAAACTATACAAACACACTTCGATCCTTCCTCTTTCGAAATCACCAAAAACTCTCCACAAACAATTTATAATAAAAGAGCAATTAGTTTTCTCCGTGAGTGTTACAATACAGATTCTACCATTGATCCTCCTTGGCTTAAATTTATCGAATATTCCAGAGAAAATATTGATTGGCTCAATTATATGAAAGTATTATTAACGCTCTATAGACCAGCAAATCTGTTATTAATACACTAGCCGAAGTTACACAAAACTGGCAAACTGTGTATTATTCAACGGTACTAGATCCAAGTAATTTCCTGTTTAGGTTCAATTAATTTATTTTTGTCGAATAAACAATCAGATTTGTTGTTTGCTCAATTTATATCGTAAACAACCGACTGTAAAATTAAATTGAGTAATTTAACACGAAATCGACTGATCTCCAAATAATTGTTCAAATTAATTTTTTCCAACACTCTTTGATTCGGTGTTTTTTTCTTTAAAGGCACTTATCGCAGCTTCACGTTACAAACTGCTCCCATTATGAAGTTTAAAATCTCTTGAATACTGGTTATTTATCGCTGCAACATCGAAGGAAAATAAAGCTTTTAATTATAGACAATCGCCTGTTAAATCGGGCGAGCGATTGACGTCAGGTTTCGGGTGGATTTTGACGTTTTGGGATATTTAAAACCTAATTGTGTCAACAAAATAAAGTGTGTGAGGATGTACGTGAGCTGGAATGCAAATTTTAAATATAGTGCATGTTGCAGCGACCTGTTTAATTACGTTTAATCCACGGGAAATAAATTGCGTTTGGATGGTTATCAATGTGGATAGAATTTATGATTATTGGTAGTGTAAATATATCGTAAAATGGGCATTTAATATTCGTGTTAGCACACATTAAAAAAAGAATTGCGCAAAAATGAGGTGGAATTGTTCTAGATTTAAAAATTTTTTGGGGTACGCTCAAATTGAAAAATGATTTAAAAACAGGAAACGGCAACTTTTCTTTTTTTAGCTTCGTAACTTGGAATTTTAAGCGGTTTTTGGACATTAAAAATATTTTTTACCACTTTTCTGCGTCAATTTTTTGAACTTTTTAGGTTGAAAGCCTGGAATTAAAAATCGGGCTAAGTTTTTGTAATCAATTTAATTAAGAGTTGACCAATAATTCAAAATTACTAATATTTACAAAATGTTTGCCACAAATGCTGATGTGTGCCAGGGGAAAAAATCATGATCATCTAGTGTTAAATTAAGCATTCTTGAAAAAATTCCGTCAAATAAAAAAATATAAAAAATATTTCATCTTGAAGATAATAAAAATCAAGAATTTTCAATTTTTTCCTTTTAGTTGAATCGAATTAATACATTTATTTAAGTGTATGTTGGTTACATTTTTGATTTCGCTTTTTTATTTTCTTTAATTTATCAGTTATTCGATTTTTCAATGTTTCGGTTTTATACTTTTTTGTTTTATCAATTTAAGTTTTTCAATTTTTCACTTTCTTTGTGTTTTTGTCCTTCAATTTTACAATATGTAACTTACTCTTCGTGTTTTCATTTTAAATTTTTTAGTTTTTTGATTTCACTACTATGGAAGTTTCAGTTTTTCGTTTCCCTTCATTTTTTCAATTTTTCGGTTTTTCAGTGTTCTGATTTTATCATTGTTCTTTTTTCGATTAGGAATTTTTTGCTTTTCAATTTTTCGATTTTTCAACTTCTAGGTTTTTAATTTTTCGTTTCTTCGGTTTTTGAATTTTCATTTGTAAATAATAATTTTTAAAATTTTTCACTTTTTCATTTATTTAACTTTTCAATTTTTCGATTTTTAATTTTTCGATATATCAATTATTCAATTTTTCATTTCTTCAAATTTTCGATTTACAATTTTCAGTTTTTCATTTTATTTTTATTTCTTCAATTTTATGACTTGGAACTCTCGAGTTCTCATTTTTTAATTTTTCAGTTTTTCCTTTTCCAATTTCTGGATGTTTCAATTTTTAGATTTTGGAATATATATTTCCATTTCTAATTTCACGAGTTTTTGATTTTTCGTTTCAGTTATTTTGTTTTCTTTATTTTTTCAAATATTCGGCTTTCCAGTATTTTTTTTCTCCTTTCTGTATGAAATTTTTCAATTTTTGAATTTTTTTATTTTTTGATTCGCAATTTTTCGGTTTTCAATTTTTCGAATTTGATTGTTTAGTTTTCGTTTCTTCAATCCTTGATTTGCAATTTCACTAGTTTTCATTTTAAATATGTAATAATAATAATTTTTAAATTTTTTCAATGTGTTTGGATTTTAAAATTTTTTCGCTTGTACGACTTTTCAATTTTTCGATTTTTAATTTTCCAATTTCTCATTTTTTCAAATTTTCATTTGCGATCTTTCGAGTTTTTAAGTTTGAATTTTTCAGTTTTTCAATATTACAACTTTTGAATGTTTCAATTTTTACATTTTGCAATTTTTCGATTTGCTGGGTCACGAGTTTTCAATTTTTAGTTTCAGTTTTTATTTTCTGTATTTTTTCAATTTACGGATTTTACAATTTTTCGATTTGCAATTTTTCGGTTTTCAATTTTCCGATTTTTCAGTTCCTCGATTTTTCAGTTTCTCGATTTTTCAGTTTTTCTGTGTTCTGATTTTATAATTTTTCTTTTTTCGATTAGGAATTTTTTGGTTTTCAATTTTTCGATTTTTCAACTTTTAGGTTTTTAATTTTTCGTTTCTTCAATTTTTGATTTGCAATTTTTTAATTTTCATTTTAAATATGTATTAAAAATAATAATTTAAAAATTTTTCACTTTTTCATTTATTCAATGTTTCAATTTTTCGATGTTTAATTTCTTCAAATTTTCGATTTTCATTTTATTTTTATTTCTTTAATTTTATGACTTGTAACTCTCAAGTTTTCATTTTTTAATTTTTCAGTCTTTCGTTTTCCAATTTCTGGATGTTTCAATTTTTAGATTTTGGACTACATATTTCAATTAGCAATTTCACGAGTTTTCGATTTTTCGTTTCAGTTTTTTTGTTTTCCTTATTTTTTCAAATATTCGGCTTTCCAGTATTTTTTTTTTCCTCCTTTATTCTATGAAATTTTTCAATTTTTGCTTTATTTTATTTTTCGATTCGCAATTTTTTGGTTTTCAATTTTTTGAATTTCAGATTTTTTAGTTTGCGTTTCTTCAATTTTTGATTTGCAATTTCTCTAGTTTTCATTTTAAATATGCAATAATAATAATTTTTAAATTTTTTCAATGTGTTTGGATTTTAAAACTTTTTCGCTTGTACGACTTTTCAATTTTTCGATTTTTAATTTTACAATTTTTCATTTCTTCAAATTTTCATTTGCGATTTTTCGAGTTTTTAAGTTTAAATTTTTCAGTTTTACAACTTTTGGATGTCTCAATTTTTACATTTTGCAATTTTTCGATTTGCTGGGTCACGAGTTTTCAATTTTTCGTTTCAGTTTTTATTTCCTGTATTTTTTCAATTTACGGATTTTACAATTTTTCGATTTGCAATTTTTCGGTTTTCAATTTTCCGATTTTTCAGTTCCTCGATTTTTCAGTTTCTCGATTTTTCAGTTTTTCAGTGTTCTGATTTTATAATTTTTCTTTTTTCGATTACGAAATTTTTGGTTTTCAATTTTTCGTTTCTTCAATTTTTGATTTGCAATTTTTGAATTTTCATTTGTAAATAGTAATTTTAAACATTTTTCACTTTTTCATTTATGTAACTTTTCAATTTTTCGATTTTTAATTTTTCGATGTATCAATTATTCAATTTTTCATTTCTTCAAATTTTCGATTTACAATTTTCAGTTTTTAATTTTATTTTTATTTCTTCAATTTTATGACTTGTAACTCTCGAGTTTTCATTTTTTAATTTTTCAGTTTTTCGTTTTCCAATTTCTGGATGTTTCAATTTTTAGATTTTGGAATACATATTTCCATTTGCAATTTCACGGGTTTTTGATTTTTCGTTTCAGTTTTTTTGTTTTCTTTATTTTTTCAAATATTCGGCTTTCCAGTATTTTTTTTTCTTTTCTGTATGAAATTTTTCAATTTTTGAAATTTCTTATTTTTCGATTCGCAATTTTTCGGTTTTCAATTTTTCGAATTTTAGACTTTTTAGTTTTCGTTTCTTCAATTTTTGATTTGCAATTTCTCTAGTTTTCATTTTAAATATGTAATAATAATAAATTTTAAAATTTTTCACTGTATGTATTTGGATTTTAAAACTTTCTCACTTGTGCGACTTTTCAATTTTTCGATTTTTAATTTTCCAATTTTTCTGATATTCAATTTTTCATTTCTTCAAATTTTCATTTGCGATTTTTCGAGTTTTTAAATTAAAATTTTTCCTGTCTTCAATTTTCGATTCGCAATTTTTCGGTTTTCAATTTTTCGAATTTTAGATTTTTTAGTTTTCGTTTCTTCAATTTTTGATTCGTAATTTCTATAGTTTTCATTTTAAATATGTAATAATAATAATTTTTAAAATTTTTCACTGTGTATTTGGATTTTATAACTTTTTCACTTGTGCGACTTTTCAATTTTTCGATTTTTAATTTTCCAATTTTTCTGATAACCAATTTTTCATTTTTTCAACTTTTGAATGTTTCAATTTTTACATTTTGCAATTTTTCACTTTGCTGGGTCACGAGTTTTCAGTTTTACGTTTCAGTTTTTTTTTTCTGTCTTTTTACAATTTTTCGGTTTTCAATTTTACGGTTTTCAATTTTCCGATTTTTCAGTTCCTCGATTTTTCAGTTTTTCGATTTTTGAGTTTTTCCCGTCTTCAATTTTCGATTCGCAATTTTTCGAAAATTAGATTTTTTACTTTTCGTTTCTTCAATTTTTGATTTGCAATTTCTCTAGTTTTCATTTTAAATATGTAATAATAGTTTTTAAAATTTTTCACTGTATTTGGATTTTAAAACTTTTTCACTTGTGCGACTTTTCAATTTTTTGATTTTTAATTTTCCTATTATTCAGAAATTCAATTTTTCATTTCTTCAATTTTCACTTGCGATTTTCCGAGTTTTTAAGTGTAAATTTTTCAGTTTTTCAATTTTACAACTTTTGCATGATTACATTTTTTACATTTTGTAATTTTTCAATTTGCTGGTTCACGAGTTTTCAATTTTTCGTTTCAGTTTTCAATTTTTCAGTTCCTCGATTGTTCAGTTTTTCGATTTTTGAGTTTTTCCCGTTTTCAATTTTTGATTTGCAAATTTTCTAGTTTTCATTTTAGATACGTAATAATTATGATTTAAAAAAAATCACTTTTTCAGTATTACGATTTTACAGTTAATCAATCTTTCAGTGTTTCGACTGAAAAATCGAAAAATTTATTAACTGAAAATTGAAAAACCGAAGAGTGTAAAATCCAAAAAGTCGAAAAACTGAAATGTCAAAAAACCGAGAAATCAAAAACTGTAAAATTAGAAAATCAAAAGACTGAAACATAAAAAAAAAAACGAAAAATCTAACACCTGTACAAATTTCAATACACCTCACCAAAAACTTGTTAAGACAAGAGTGGCACAGCCTCTAAGAAAATAAAGGGCGGGTGGGCGGGACTAGTATTTGCTAAGTAAGATAACACTAATTTTGGCGAAGGACATATCCTACAAGAAAATAGAGGGTGGGTGGGTGGGGCTAGTACTTGCTAAGATAAAACTGATTTTGGCAAATGATGTATCCTCTAAGAAAATACGTATGATTTGTCAAAATCAGTCATATCTTAGTAAGTACTAGCCCCGCCCACCCGCCCTCTATTTTCTTAGAGGGTATTGCATTGGCCAAAAAGAGTTTTATCTTAGCAAATATTTACCCCGCCCACTCACCTACCCTTTATTTTCATAGAGGATATTTCATTGGCCAAAAAATTTCAAGAAAAGGAGATAACATCAATCTGCTTTAACAATTTGGCATTAATTTGAATTTGAATTTAAAAAATAAATAAATAAAAAGGCAATTTTATCATGAAATACAAATTCTAGCCAAAGCTAGTTTTTCAATTTAATTTTACAGACAATGTGGCAACACAAAAATGCTACTTTTATTATGTGAACATTTTCGGTGCTGCGGGGATAGTAATGTGTTTGTTTTAAAAAGGTCAAGTTTATTTAAATATTAAACCAGAGATTTTGATTTGTTTTTGAAAAACATGAAAAAACGATATTGGATAAAGGTTTTTCCAGCCTTGCTCTGACGTATTTTTTTAAGAAATGAACATTTGAATATAAATATATAGGATGTTCAATTTACAAAAAAAGTATATTTCAAATTACTTTTAAACTGACGTCCTTTGGGACACCCTATATTATATAAACAGCGACAAAAATACGTTGTAAAGCTTGATTGCTTAGTGCATACCTTCGTGACACCTGTACAAATTCCAATACACCTCACCAAAAAAAAATAAATAAATAAATAAAAATGCACCTATGCAATAACAATCCCCTTCAACAATGTGCACTTTCTAAAAAAACTAATTTCAACTTCTTGCATCATCTGGACAGCCGACATTCCACACGCCCATATACGACAATAGCGCCGTGTCAAAGCCGCCTATGAAGCCGCTATTCTACCATTGTGTCCGCCGTGTTCGCCCATATCGCCGCCGCTCTTCTTGTGATGTCACGTGTCGACAAATTACATCTGCAAACCGACAACCAACAAACAGAAAGCAAAAAAGCATGCACACTTGGTGCCAACCATCACCATCACACACCATCGAGACGAGGACATGCGTTACAGTTAAGATGTTAAAGATTGAGATGGAGATGAGCGAACCTGAATGGTATCTCTTCTCATTGTGCGTGACACGCCGTTGCGTGCGCCGTCTCGTGTGTTGCTTGCCGCCGCCACCGCCGCCGCCTCCGCTGCCGCTGCCTCCGTCATTTCCGCCGCCTCCGGCTAAACAGCACAACACAATGAACACACCACCAGATCAAGTGTTAGTAAAGCATTTTGTGATATGGGAGAATGTGATGAGATGCGGAATGCTCTGTATACAGGGACGGGATTAGTCAATCGCGGGGGTTGGCGTCGTGACAGGTTTTTGATTTTGTTGTTTTAATAAATAATTAATATAAACCGACTTTTGTGAAATGAGTACCTTTTGGTTAATGTTTGCTTTTCGTTAAGTCTTAAAAGACTACAACTGCGTTAAAAATATTTTGATTTAGAGTTGGCTACGCCATATATGAAATAAATACACCTTCAGATTACAAAATTGGACATATTTCGCTAACAAAGTTGATTTAATATTTTAATTTAGCATTATCAAGTCAAAACGAGAGCGCAAAATATGTAATTCAATTTTTAAATATTATATTATATCACGAATTTATTATCCGGATATGACATCACAACAATAAAACACAAAAATTGCCATTTATTCACACACTATTTTTTATAAATGATATTTAGTGTTGCGAATATAAATTTTAGTCGTTAACGTCACAGTAAAGCATCGCTATAGTGTTAAAGAATGACATTAACGAGCAAAATTGATTGCTCGTCACTGTATATTACTAAATAATTTCATTATTGATTTATATGTCGTATTGAAAAGACATCGTAAAGTTTTATGTTGACATTAAATTATGTGGCGAAAATGTATACAGTCGGAAGCGTTCTGATAGAGCCAAGTCACATTAAATTTTGAAATTTCGGCTCTGTAAAACTATAAAAATCAACCTTATATTGTAATTATTCTAGGTTTATAATTATCCTCAAAAGAATTTTATCGAATAACTCCCCCAAAATTTATTTCTGAGAACTTAAGAATTAAAAAATGGTCCTACTTTCCCATATAACTTTAAGCGAGCTACATATATAGAGTGTTTATAAAAGACTTACATCAAACTGAGCAGATCTTTGCCACTTTGTTAAAACAGGAACTGTAAAATCAAATGTCAAACTGACCGGAAATTTTTCAAGGTTACTTTGGTGACGTTATTTATAAACACCCTGTACTTTGTGAAATTTAGATTTAGATTTTTTCACCTGAAAAAAGTTCTAGTGGTTCTTTCATTGTGAGAAGATTATGTCGAGTCTTCACAATCTGTCACTTAAGTTTTGACTTTAAAAAATATATATCGAGAAAAAATGTCGTCTAGCAACCACTGAAATTTAATGTCAAAAAAATTATGTTGGCAATCCTAACGCGTTCCTTGTTCAGTTTGACAGTTGCAGTCAAACAACAGTCAAATAGCTGCAAAGCTCGACGTCACGCTTTTAAGCAGGCTTTGAAGAACTCAAAAAAAAAATCCATGAACTAAATTTTTGAAAATATTAAACTTCAAAATGGAAGCATTAACTTCGTAGTTCCGATGTTTTAATGTAAATTTAATTGACTGTATAAAATTTCGATAAAAATTGTCAAAAATGACATCTGTCAAAAGTACAAAGTGACGTTGTAAAACAAATCAGAATTACGAAATTAATTCTTCAACTTTGAAGTTCATATTTTCAAAAATTTGGCTCGGCGATTTTGTATCCATTTTTTCGAGTTGTTCAGACCCTTCTAACAACGTCAACGTAACATCGAGCTTATCGGTCATTTTTGGAACACCTGTATATAATTGACTGTTCACACGTAGAAGTTTTATTGTATTTTCACCCTCCAGATAAAACTCCTAAATGGAGTGAAGAACTTTTCAAAAGATTTGTTTAAACCAAAAATGACAGTGAAAAATCCTTAAAGAAAGCACACTTCTGTCTAAAAATAAGTGTAAAATCCAGTAGAAGATAATTAATTCTGTCAGATACGAATTTACTGATTAAAAAATGAAAATTTATGTTGTAATGTTGTAGAACTGAAATGAAAAACCATTTCTTTGTCAAGTTTGGCACAGAAATATTTTTTGTTGTTCTCAAATTTCTTTTTTTTTTTTTGATTTTCTGACATTTTGATTAGAAAATTTTGTGTTTCGTTTAGTTAGTTATCAAAATAATGGCTCCAAGAAAACAGAGGGTGGGTGGGCGGGGTTAGTACGTATTTCAATTTGCAATTTCATTTATTTTGTTTTCTTTATTTTTTCAAATGTTCGGCTTTCCAGTATTTTTTTATCCTTTTCTGTAAGAAATTTTTAAATTTTTGAATTTTAGATTTTTTCGATTCGCAATTTTTCCGTTTTCAATTTTTCGAACTTTAGATTTTTAGTTTTCCTTTTTTGAATTTTTGATTTGCAATATTTCTAGTTTTCGTTTTAAATATGTAACATTAGTAATTTTTTAAATTTTTCATTGTATTTGGATTTTAAAACTTTTTCACTTGTGCGACTTTCCAATTTTTCGATTTTTAATTTTCCAATTTTTCGGATATTCAATTTTTGATTTCTTCAAATTTTCATTTTCAATTTTTCGAGTTTTCAAGTTTAAATTTTTCAGTTTTTCAATTTAACAACTTTTGAATGTTCCAATTTTTACATTTTGCAAATTTTCGATTTGCTGGTCACGAGTTTTCAATTTTTCGTTTCAGTTTTTAATTTTCTGTATTTTTTCAATTTACGGATTTTACAATTTTTCGGTTTCAATTTTCCGATTTTTCAGTTTCTCGAAATGTCGGTTTTTCGATTTTTGAGTTTGTCCCGTTTTCAATTTTTGATTTGCAAATTTTCTAGTTTTCATTTTAAATATGTAATAATAATTATGATTAAAAAAATCACTTTTTCAGTATTACAATTTTACAATGACTGAAAAATCGAAAAATTTATTAGCTGAAAATTGGAAAACCGAAGTAAAATACAAAAAGTCGAAAAACTGAACTGAAAAAAAAACGAGAAATCAAAAATTGTAAACTTAGAAAATCGGAAGATTGAAAAATAAAAAAACGAAAAATCTAACACCTGTACAAATTTCAATACACCTCACCAAAAACTTGTTAAGACAAGAGTGACTTTGGCAGTTGGCACAGCTTCCAAGAAAATAAAGGGCGGGTGGGCGGGGCTAGTATTTGCTAAGTAAGATAAGATTAATTTTGGCGAAGGACATATACTACAAGAAAATAGAGGGCGGGTGGGCGGGGCTACTACTTGTTAAGATAAGACTGACTTTAGCAAATCATACCTATTTTCTTAGAGGGTATCACTTGCCAAAATCCGTCTTATCTTAACAAGTACTGGCCCCGCCCACCCGCCCTCTATTTTCTTAGTAGGTATTTCATTGGGCAAAATCAGTCTTATCTTAGCAAGTACTTGCCCCGCCCACCCGCCCTATAGTTTCTTAGGGGGTATGTCATTTCCTAAAATCAGTTTTATCTTAACTAGTACTAACCCCGCTCACCCTCCCCCTTATTTTCTTAAAGTATATGTCATTTGTCAAAATCAGTGTTATCTTAGCAAGTACCAGCCCCGCCCACCCTTTCTCTATTTTCTTAGAGGGTGTATCATTTGCTAGTACTTGCTAAGATAAGACTAGTTTTTGGCGAAAGACATATACTTCAAGAAAACAGAGGGTGGGTGGGTGGGGCTGGTACTTGCTAAGATAAGACTGATTTTGGCCAATAAAGTATCCTCAAAGAAAATAAAGGGCGGGTGGGCGGGGCTAGTATTTGATAAGATAACACTGATTTTGGCGAATGATGAACCCTCTAAGAAAATAGGTATCATTTGCTAAAGTCAGTCTTATCTTAACAAGTACTAGCCCCGTTCACCCGCCCTCTATTTTCTTAGAAAGTATTTCATTGGCCAAAATCAGTCTTATCTTAGCAAATACTTGCCCCGCCCACCCGCCCCTTATTTTCTTAGAGGATATGTCATTTCCTGAAATCAGTCTTATCTTAACTAGTACTAGCCCCGCCCACCCTCCCTCTTATTTTCTTAAAGGATATGTCATTTGCCAAAATCAGTGTTATCTTAGCAAGTACCAGCCCCGCCCACCCGTCCTCTATTTTCTTAGAGGGTGTATCATTTGCTAGTACTTGCTAAGATAAGACTAGTTTTTGGCAAAGGACATATACTTCAAGAAAACAGAGGGTGGGTGGGTGGGGCTAGTAATTGATAAGATAAGATTGATTTTGGCCAATAAAGTATCCTCAAAGAAAATAGGGCGGGTGGGCGGGGCTAGTATTTGATAAGATACGACTGATTTTGGCGAATGATGTACCCTCTAAGAAAATAGGTATCATATGCCATAGTCAGTCTTATCTTAACAAGTACTAGCCCCACCCACCCGCCCTCTATTTTCTTAGAGGGTATTTCATTGGCCAAAATCAGTCTTATCTTAGCAAATACTTGCCCCACCCACCCGCCCCGTATTTTCTTAGAGGGTATGTCATTTCCTGAAATCAGTCTTATCTTAACCAGTACTAGCCCCGCCCATCCTCACTCTTATTTTCTTAAAGGATATGTCATTTGTCAAAATCAGTGTTATCTTAGCAAGTACCAGCCCCGCCCACTTGTCCTCTATTTTTTTAGAGGGTGTATCATTTGCTAGTACTTGCTAGATAAGCAAGTTTTTGGCAAAGGACATATACTTCAAGAAAACAGAGGGTGGTTGGGTGGGGCTAGTACTTGATAAGATAAGATTGATTTTGGCCAATAAAGTATCCTCAAAGAAAATAAAGGGCGGGTGGGCGGGGCTAGTATTTGATAAGATACGACTGATTTTGGCGAATGATGTACCCTCTAAGAAAATAGGTATCATATGCCATAGTCAGTCTTATCTTAACATGTACTAGCCACACCCACCCACCCTCTATTTTCTTAGAGGGTATTTCATTGGCCAAAATCAGTCTTATCTTAGCAAATCCTTGCCCCGCCCACCCGCCCCTTATTTTCTTAGAGGATATGTCATTTCCTGAAATCAGTCTTATCTTAACTAGTAGTAGCCCCGCCCACCCTCCCTCTTATTTTCTTAAAGGATATGTCATTTGTCAAAATCAATGTTATCTTAGCAAGTACCAGCCC